TTTCAGCTGCTGTGAGATGCAGTCTCGCAGTCACGGCTTGGAAGGGTTTTACAATCTCTGCCCTCTGTTCCCATCATAAACCCCGTCAGCAGTTCAAAGGACGGAGAGATTGAGCAGCCACGGAGAGCAGGAGATCCACCTGCCACCACGGATTCCTGATCTCTCCAACCAGGTAAGGACCCCCAGAATCACCGTTAACCCCCAGTTGGCATTTGCTGGGCCAGTGGAGGAGAGTGGGGTGACAGCAGGGCTGCTCCTGGGTACTTGGATGGAGCATCCACAACTTCTGGTGGCAAGCTGTTCCACTGGTTAATTGTCCTCACTGTTAGGAAGTTTCTCCTTAGTTTCAGGTTGCTTCTTTCCTGGATTAGTTTCCATCCATTGTTTCCTGTCCTGCCTTCTGGTGCTTTGGAGAATAAGTGGACTCCCGTCTTCTTTGTGGCAGCCCCCCAAATACTGGAAGGCTGTTATCATGTGCCTCCTAGTCTTTCTTTTCTCTAGACTGGCCAAACCCAAATCCTCCAACCGTCCTTCGTATGTTTTAGTCTCCAGGCCTTTAATTACCTTAGTTGCTCTTTATCCCAAAGGTGCTTTTTTCAAGAGGCAACCGGACTTTCTGGTTTTTCTTTGAAGAAGTTTTGCTTCTCACTCAAGAAGCTTCTTCAGCTCAGTTCTTAGTTGCTCTTCTCTGCACTTTTCCCAAAGTCTCAACACCTTTTTTGGGATGGAGTGTTCCTTGCTCAGCCAACCCAGAATGTGGACCACCATCAGTGGAGGGAATGTGGCTTGTGTCCACATCCTGCATCTCCTGACAGAAGCAATCATCAATTTTTGCCTCCTCCAGATGTTTCTTCTCTCTTGTAGGGCAGCAGAAGTGTCGGCAACTGTAGGAGCCAAGCATGGCCCTGGAAGAGGACACCATAGAGATAGAGGCCGCCCCTTCCAGCTGGGGTCCTTGTACGACTGCCACAAGGATGTGCTCATCCCAGGTAGGAACTGGAGGAGAGGCTGATGGGTCTCTAGACGGAGGGAGGGAGGGTGGGAAGGAAGGAAGGAAGGAAAGAGGGAGGGAGGGAGGGAGACGGGCACAGCCATCAATGCACAGGCTCAGCCCAGGGACAGAGTTGAGCTCCTGGGCACACGGCCCACTAGTAGCAGCAAGCTAAGTAAGACCTTCTAGCTGGGAATATGTATCCAACCCTTTGCCAAGGATGCAGCAGGACTGGCACTGATTACCAAACACAGGGTGGGTTTCCTCCCCAGAAGCAAAGTCACTGAAATGGTTTGAAAAACAGCTAATAAAAGAAGTCGAGGGTCCCCCAGAATGGTGAATTCAGGGATAGAATTACTTCTGAAATTGTGGTGCATGTGATTCTGAACCCTTCATGAAAATACGGTTTCTCCAGGGAGTTGGAGACCTTTCTTGAAATCAATAGCTTCATACTCCCAAAGGCGCTTTTTCAGGAGGCAACTGGACTTTTTGGTTTTTCTTTGGAAGACGTTTTGCTTCTCATCCAAGAAAATTCTTCAGCTCTGACTGGATGGTGGGGAATGGAAGGATTGATGCTCCTTGCAGACAGCTGGTCATTTGCATCCTTTTAGAGGGCCCTTGGAGCACTTGGAGGTCCATCTGTGTCCTCAGGGTCACCTGGTTCCTGCAGTCCGTGTGGAAATTGGGATCGTAGAAACACCCAGGAGCATAGAAGAGTCCAAAGGCAGATGCATGAATAAATGTGATAAATGTATTTATTCATATAACAAAATATATTAACTATATACAAAGGCTGTCTTAATATCCATTAGGATGGGGGCACACAGCGTGTGTGACTACCCCTATCAAAGATCATGTCTCTTGGAGAACAAACGTAAAAGAGAGCTTGGTGGAAAGGTTAGAGGGGGGTTTATACTCAGTGTAAGCCCCTCCTCTCCACATAGGGGTGGGGGCACTTTCTGCCTCCACTAGTGTCTGTATGATATATGTGCCAATGGCTTGCAAATACTTGACAGTTCCCCTCCTTGCGAGCCAATGGCATGCAAACATACAAATGCAATGCACAACAGATTTTACCCTGTGAGACATAACTTTTTACACAGATCTTTGTGCCTATCTGCTGGTAGAGGTTTTGTGAAAATATCAGCTGTTTGATATTTGTTCTGACAATGTGATAAAGATATAAACCCCATCTCTACTAGTTGCCTAACATTTTGATAGCAGATATCAATATGTCTGGACCTTTTTCCCACTGCATAGGCTTTGGCAATGCCTATGGCCCCGGTGTTGTCTTCTATAATTTGGATGGGCAAAGTCAGTGGTGTCCAGATGCTAGAAATTAAGGCATCAAACCATATCAGATCGTTCCCTGCCTCTGATAAGCATGCATATTCGGCCTCAGCGGTGGAGCACGAAACAAATTTCTGTTGCCCCACATGCCAATGGATGGGTGCCTCATTTAATAGTACCAAGAAGCCCGAAGTACTCCTACGTGTCACGGTATCTCCGGCCCAGTCCGCATCCACGAAGCATTTTAATTGGGCCTTGTCTCTATTCTCAGGTTCCAAGCGAAGCACGTAATCTGCTGTGGTCTTGAGATACCTTAATAGCTTTTTAATGGCCAACCAGTGGAACTGGGTAGGATGTTCCACTTGTCTAGATAGCAGGTTTACGGCCAGGGCAATATCTGGACGGCTCCAGTTACTTATATATAGTAATGAGCCGATCACTGACCTAAATAGAGTATTATTTTGGAACTCTGGGCTATCCTTGTGTGCCAATCCATAATAGTCGGTCTGCATTGGGATAGTCGTTGGCTTGCTATCTTCCATTTTACATTTCACCAAGAGTTCCTCTATCTTTTCCTTTTGGGAGAGAGCAAAACCTTTTGGTGTAGTGATGATTTGTACGCCTAGGTACTTGTCCACATATCCTAAAGACTTTAGAGTGAACTTTTTTTGTAGGGTCCTGGCAAATATAATACTTCCCCCCTTGTCAGGCCCTAAATATAAAAGATCATCGACATACACTAGGACTTTCTCCAGCCTCCCTTTGGTATCCCTTGTGAAGGTACATTTATCAGCTGGAGATGGATGGAAACCCAGTGATTTGAGAGTTTTAGTCAGGCATTTGTACCACAGTCTGCCTGATTGTTTGAGGCCGTACAAACTTTTCTTCAGAAGCCAGGTGTGGCCTTCCTGCTGTTGAAATCCAGGGGCACCTCTGATGTAAATTTCTTGTTTTAGATGTGCGTGTAAATAAGCAGTTTGCACATCAAATTGAAAAATGTGTTCCCCATGTGCTGCTGCGGTGACCAAAGCAGCCCTCACACTTTCCGCTCTCACGGTGGGGGAGTATGTTTCATCAAAGTCCTGCAAGTAGTGCTGTGCGTAGCCTTGTGCTACCATCCGGGCCTTGTAGAGGAGTTTGTTGTTGGGCATTGGCTTGACCTTGTAGACCCAACGGGTGCCAATTGCTTTCCTCTTTTTGGGGACTTCCATGGGGATGAAGACTTTCAATTTTTTGAGACTGTCCATTTCCCGCTCCATTGCCACCCTCCACCTGCACTGTTCTTCCTCGGGAAGCTGAAGGACATCTGAGTACATTTTAGGGGCCATGGTAACGCTGTTGACTGAGGCAACACAGCCAATGTCCAACCTTTTGGGTGGCACCCCTTTATTGGAGCGTTTTGACCGTCTGGGAAATTGCCACTCACCATCATCATTGTCATCCGGAGCATCGGTGTCAGAATTGGGGCTGCCGGAGGTATCTTTCCAATCAAAATGGGGTGGGCCTCTGTCCCAGGCGCTGCGAAGATATGGTCGTTTAGGTGAGGCAGGAGGTGTGAAGTCACCCAGGGATTCCTTGTCTGAATCGTCAGAGTCAGGTAGGGATTCATCACCATCCGGATCTTCGCTGGTCAGTTGTTTGGAGTTTGTTGGTTCATCCTCTTCAGGTGGTGCTGCTTGTTCAGTGTCGCTTCTAATAGGGGAATAACCGGGTTCATTGGAATGAATTTTTGACCAATTTGACCCCTCCTCAAAGGAAGCTGATCTAGAGACAATGACAAGGTTATTTTTGTCTACAAACCTAGAGGCCTTGCTGCCGGTTGCATAACCTATAAATCTGAGCCTCCTTGATGCCTTGCCCCCCTTTCTTCTGAGGTGCTTGGGAATATGGACCCAGGCATAGGAACCAAAAATTCTCAGGTGTGAGAGGCTAGGTTTCCTTCCATGGACCAGGAAGTATGGGGTTTGGTTAATGGCACTACTCCACGTCCTGTTGACTAGATAATTAGCCATTTTGACCGCTTCTGCCCAAAAAACTTGGCTCATGTCAGCATCTGCAAGTAGGCAGTTCATGACATTCTGCAGCACGCCATTTCTCCTTTCTGCAATGCCATTCTCGGATGGAGTTCGAGGGGATGATTTAAAATGGAGGATACCTCTCTCCTTCATCCACTTTTCAAAAATCTTGGATGTAAACTCAGTCCCCCTATCACTCTGCACCTGAGCGATGCACACCTTGTGTTGCGTTTGGATCTGGTTGTAAAGATATTTGAAGTTGGTAAAGACTTCAGTTTTGTCCTTTAAAATAAATACATGGCCATAACGAGAGTAATCATCTACTACCGTTAAAAAATAACGCCCCCTACCAAGGGAGGGTCTAAAAGGACCAACCAAATCCATGTGTACCAGCTGATAAGGGTACCTTGCACGACGGGAAGAGACCTTAGGTATAGCAGCAGTTTTAGATTTTGCTGCCTTACAGATGGCACATTCCAAATAGGTATTACAATTCTTTATCTTAAGCCCATCAGAAAAATCTTGCATTTTCTTAATAACCGGGAAGCTGGCATGGCCGAGCCTGCGGTGTAATATATGAGCACAATCCAAATGCAAAGGTTTACCCATGCATACTTTGTCAACCTTATGTATCTTACCATTACAAGCCTTGGTCTGTTCAGTAATGAGAGTAGGCACTGGATTAATGGTCACCTTAGAGTTCCTCAGGGTTGGCTGAGGAGTTGTGACCTTAATGGGCTCAGCCTTAATGGCTTTGGATGTCCTAGGAGCTGGTTTAAAAGCTTCATTGGTTTTAGGTCCAGGGTCCTTGAGTTTGGACAACCTGGGGCTGGCACAGAAGCTTTCTGCTCTATCTGGGCGTTAGCTCCCTGAGCCCTCTTGTTAGGTTTCTTGTGCCTTTTGACCTGTGCTTTTGGGGAAAAATAAGGCAAATTGCTGATTTTTACAATATCGCCAACAACACCCCCATTTTTGAAAACATAACCTCCACCCTTCTCAAAAACCAGTTTTACATTTTTATCCTCAGTCAATTTTAAGATGCTTAAAAGGTTGTTCTTGATTGAGGGAACATACAGTGCCCCTGTGACATCTCCTATACCAGGCACATTGATCACGCCTTCCCCAGTTACCTCTGCCTTGTCCCCAGTGGCAACTTTTACTGAGGACTTGAGTGGGTGTAAAACCTTAAATTGTTGGTTTGTGTTGGCTATATGCGTTGATGCACCTGAATCAAGGAGCCACAGCCCCTCAGCATCCTTTATCTGGGAGATGTGGTTGTCACTAGTGACACTACAGAATTGGTATCCTTTATGACCACCTCCCCCTCTTCCACGGCCTCTTTTATTTTTATTGTGCTTAAGTCCAGCCGTGTTGGCCCTAGAGCGAGGGCACTCCCTTTTAAAGTGACCTTGCATGCCACAGTCAAAGCAGGTGGGAAGGGTATTAATCCTTTCACTTGTGTCCTGGCGCCTCCTCTGAGGCCTAGGCCTGTGATATGCCTCCTTCATTTCTTGTTGTTCCTCATCTCTGCGCCTTAAATCTTCCTCAATAAAGCGGCCAGAAAAGTATTCTATATTTCTTTGTTCCCTAGAAACCCCTTCTAGAGAAATAATAAAGGGACTCCAGGATTTGTCTAGGGAGTTCAACATCACACTAATTAAAGTGGATTCAGAAACAGGCTCCCCCCTCTGTATAAGCTCATCCCTCATGGCTTTAAGCATTGCCAAATGTTCCCCCATTTTGACACCAGGTTTGAGTTTATAGTTGTGGAACCTTCTTGACAATCTGCTGGTTGCAGCCATATTGTCACTATGGAACAAATTATATAGGGCAGTCCAAACTTCCTGAGCTGTGAGGCCGTCTGAAAGACTGGCATAAAGAGCTGTGTCTATAGAACTTAACAGGGTTGTGTAAGCTCTTTTATGCAGGAACTCAATTTCAGGGCTCCAAGGTAAAGGGGGTGGTCTTTTGATCATGTCCAGAGTATTTTCTCTTAAGAGAATTATCTGAATCTCTTTACACCATTTTTTAAAATTCTGACCACTTAAATGTAGTTTTTCAAAATTATTTGGCAAAGTTACAAAATTATTGCCATTAAACTGCATGGGGAGTTGTTCAAATGGCTGAAAAGAGCCTGTTGTGAATGGCATTGGGATCCCTAAGCCTGGGATCGATTGCTTAGGTCTGGCTCCTTTTTGTAGTCCTTCTGTAGTTTGAAGCAACTGGGCACGTGCAGGAAATGGAGCATGCTCCAAAGCCTTTTCTTGTTGGAGCTCCGATCTCCCTCTCTGAGCTCTGAAGTCAGGTCTGGCTGGAGCCTCAGAATAGGCCCGGACATCAGCGATGTGGTGGGGAAGCCTTGGAGGAGTGGGGAGAAGGCCTGGAGATCTTTCAGGAGACTGGAGGCCCATCAGATGAGGTCCATGGGCTGGGTAGGCCTGGAAATGTCTCTGGATCTCCTCTTCTCCATCAGAGGAGCAGGATTGCAGCTCCGGATCATCCCAGCAGGGCCGGAAAGGTGCGGAGGCCTCAGCCGGGGCCTCCCTGGAGCATTCAGTGAATGGTGAGCGCCTCTGCAGTGGGGGGTGGGAGGCTGCAGGTCCATCTGGGTTCCTCCGGGGGTGGGAGGTTGGATTTGGGGCCCTCCTTGAGTGGGCAGCTGGGTCTGGGGCCTCGGGGGGGCCAGTGGGTGGTTGCTCCATAAGTTCCAGGGCAGCGACCAGGGCCTCTATGGCCTCTTTGATATTTGCCATGGCAGGCAGGGCCTGGCGAGGGGCTTGTGGGTTCGGAGTGGTCCTCTGGGCCGCTGGAAGGCTGAACTGACTGGCTGGCGTTGTAGGCCTGGGCTGTGGGGCTGGGGATGGCCTGGCTCGTGGTGCTGGCAAAGTGCCCAGGGGAGCAGCCATCTTGGAGGAAGTTGCCTCCGGAAGTGGCCTGGCGGCCATTTTGTTTGGCGGGAAACTGGGTGGGGGGGCAGTCTCTCTGGCGGCAGGCGCCATCTTGGAGAGATCAGGCAGGGGAGTCCTTACCGGGATGGCAGGCATCTCTGGTGCTGCCTCCTCAGGCCTCTTTCTGGCCGCTGCCCTTGTCTTCAGGAGGGAGGCCAGCGCTGCTCGGCACTCCTCTTCTGACATCTCAGCCACTTGCCTGTCCAGGCTTTCATCTGGTCCTTCTGCCCCCTCTTCGTCAGTGCTGAAGAAGCCTTCTCCAACATTGCCTGGCTCGGCCCCTGGGATCTCTTGCTGCATCTGGGTGGCCTCTGGCTGCCAGGGTGTAGCTGGATGGAAACCCCCTTCGATGTTTTCCATCGTTGATTCAGACTGGGGCTGCTGTGAAGTTCTCCTCCGTTGAAGGCCTCTGGTCACAACAGGGGAGCTTCTCTCACAGGTTATTTTGGAGGGCATCTCGCCTTTTCAACAGCTCCTGGAGTGGAGTTCTGCTACCATTCCTCTGCTACCATTCTGTGGAAATTGGGATCGTAGAAACACCCAGGAGCATAGAAGAGTCCAAAGGCAGATGCATGAATAAATGTGATAAATGTATTTATTCATATAACAAAACATATTAACTATGTACAAAGGCTGTCTTAATATCCATTAGGGTAGGGGGCACACAGCGTGTGTGACTACCCTTATCAAAGACCTTGTCTCATGGAGAACAAACGTAAAAGAGAGCATGGTGGAGAGGTTAGAGGGGGTTTTATACTCAGTGTAAGCCCCTCCTCTCCACATAGGGGTGGGGGCACTTTCTGCCTCCACTAGTGTCTGTATGATATATGTGCCAATGGCTTGCAAATACTTGACAGGAGCACTATGACTCCCAGAGTCCCCCAGTCAGGATGCTTTCAGAGGGAAGCACTACAACTCCCAGAATCCCCCAGTCAGGATGCTTTCAGAGGGGAGCACTACAACTCCCAGAATCCCCCAGTCAGGATGCTTTCAGAGGGGTGCACTACAACTCCCAGAATCCCCCAGTCAGGATGCTTTCAGAGGGAAGCACTACACCTCCCAGAATCCCCCAGTCAGGATGCTTTCAGAGGGAAGCACTACACCTCCCAGAATCCCCCAGTCAGGATGCTTTCAGAGGGACGCACTACAACTCCCAGAATCCCCCAGTCAGGATGCTTTCAGAGGGGAGAACTACAACTCCCAAAATCCACCGGTCAGGATGCTTTAAGAGGGAAGCACAGAATCTTCCACCCGGAATGCTTTAAGAGGGGAGCACTTCAATTCCCAGAATCCCCCAACTGGTAATCTTTAAGAGGGGAGGACTTGAAATCCCATAATCCCCCAGTCAGGATGCTTTAAGAGAGAAGCACTACAACTCCCATAATCCCCCAGTCAGGATGCTTTAAGAGAGAAGCACTACAACTCCAGATAACATCTTGAATGGAAAAGTCAAAGAGTCAACACAAAAGGAATACATCAGGAGGGTCCGCAAAATACTAAAATCAAAGCTGAATGCTGGAAACATAATTAAAGCCATTAATACATGGTCAATTCCAGTGATACACTATTCAGCTGGAATCATCAACTGGACTTTGGCTGAACTGGAAAACTTGGACCGGAAAATGCGCAAACCTTTGAATATGCACCACGCTTTACATCCACGAAGTGACATCGACAGGTTGTACCTGCCAAGAAAAATAGGGGGCAGAGGACTATTGTAAATCCATCAAACTGTAGAAGAAGAAAAATGAAGTTTGAATGATTATGTGAACCAAAGTACAGAAAAATTGCTGCAGGCTGTGAAAACGGAGATTATAAAAACAACAGAAACAACAAAACAAAACTGGCTATGTAGCTAACTTTAAAAGCCGCTACAAAAATATAGGCCACCAAATAAAGACTGAATGCACCAATTACCACATCAAACAAGAAGAAAACCTTCTGCGCACGAAATCCAATCACGCTTTTTATAATTTTGTAAACAACAAACTTAAAGACTCGAGATCCATCCCACCCCTAAAAGGACCTAACTGTAAAGAATGCAATGATGAAGCAGTTAAAGCAAACCTCTTTAACACATTCTTTGGCTCAGTCTTTGTTAACAGCAATGGCTCATGCCCAACATTTCCTAGTCGTACCACTAATGACTACAACGATCTAACACAAATAGATTTCACAGAAGATAACGTTGAAAAGGCACTACGTAGACTGAAACCATCTCTATCCATTGGACCTGATGGACTATGTGCATACTTCTTAAAAAAGCATAATCTTTGAAAAATCTTTCAGGACCAGTTCCCTACCCAACCTATGGTCACTACCCACGGTCATCCCTATCTTCAAAAAGGGAGACCCCAGCCTAGTCAACAATTACAGACCAATCTCTTTATGCTGCATCACTTGCAAAGTCATGGAATCAATCATTAACCAATCCATTACCCTCACCTAGAAACAAACAACCTACTCTCTAATAAACAATTTGGTTTCAGAAAAAAATTATCCTGTATTCTACAAATTCTACACTACAAAAACATGGACTACAAATCTCGATCAGGGCAAAGCAATAGATGCAATTTACATAGACTTCTGTAAAGCCTTTGTTTCAGTGGTACGTGACAAACTACTTCTAAAACTAAAACTAACATTTGCTAGACCAATTCTCGAATACAGCTCATCTATCTGGAACCCGCACTGCATATCGGACATTAATACAATTGAGCATGTCCAGAAATATTTCACGAGAAGAGTCCTCCACTCCTCCGCTCGCAACAAAATACCTTATGCCACCAGACTTGAAATTCTGGGTTTAGAAAATTTAGAACTACGCCGCCTTCGGTATGACCTAAGCATAGCTCATAAAATCATCTGCTACAATATCCTACTTGTCAATGACTACTTCAGCTTCAACCACAACAACACACGAGCACACAATAGATACAAACTTAAAGTGAACCGCTCCAAACTCGATTTCAGAAAATATGACTTTAGTAACAGAGTTGTTAATGCCTGGAATGCACTACCAGACTCTGTGGTCTCATCCCAAAACCCCCAAAATTTTAACCTTAGACTGGCTACTGTTGACCTCACCTCATTCCTAAGAGGTCTGTAAGGGGCGTGCATAAGAGCACCAGCGTGCCTACCGTCCCTGTCCTAATGTCCCCTTTAATTGTATTCATTTTATGTATTCAATTCATGCTTATATATATTATCTAATATATACTCTACAAAATAAAAAAATAAAAAAAATATCAAAGATAGAATATAAGAAAAAACAGTTGGATGACAGATTAAATAGATAGAAAACCAAAGCTTTGCATGGACAGCACTTGAAAAACATTGAAGGAAAATATGATGGCAACTTTACATGGGCATGGCTTAAGATGGGAACCATCAAGAAAGAAACGGAAGGTTTAATACTCGCTGCTCACGAACAAGTACAACAAACTAATGCCATGAAAGCAAAGATACAAAAATCCACCGACAATCCAAACTGCCGATTTTGCAGCAACAAAGTCGAAACTGTTTCACATTTAATATGTGAATGCAGCAAAATCGCAAAAACTGATTACAAAGCTAGACACGACCCAGTTGCTAAATTAATCCACTGGACATTATGTAAAAAATATGACTTTCCTGTATCCAAAACATCATGGGAACATAAAGTGGAAAAAGATATAGAAAATGAGAAGATGAAGATCTTGTGGGACTTTTGAATACAGACGGGTCGTCATTTGGAACACAACACGCCAGATATCACAGTTGTCAAAAACCGAAACGTACAATTTATTGATATCACAGTACCAGGAGATGCCAGAATCGAAGAAAAAGAACTGGGAAAAAAATCACGAAATATCGCGACCTGGCCATCGAAACTACGTGGCTATGGATGAAACATGTCACAGTGATACCCGTTGTCATTGGGGCACTTGGTACCATGTCCAAGAATTTTATAAGATACATCAACAAATTGCAGCTTCCTGCAATCACACCAGCGGAACTGCAGAAAACTGAGCTACTTGGAACGTTGTACATCTTAAGAAGATACTTGGTTTATACCTAGGACGCTGGCAGCAACCCCTATCAGCCATTAGCACCAGTCAGTGGTATATTGTGATGCATTTTTGAATGTTCAGTTGACTGAGTTTCATGTTTAATGAATAAAGCAAATAATAATAATATTAAATTTAGTAGCAGGAACAGTATATATTCAGGCAGGCGGTCTAGGATTCCTTTGACTATTTTGCTGGAAATAAGAAAATAAAAGAGACATTTGATTAAAATGAACTCCCGTTAAAACGAACTCTGCATGTTTCTCTGTCACTTTATTTTCAAGAAACCTACTGAATTTTCCATCACGCAAAGCAGTAAGAGAGGTGGAGTTAGCTTCCTCAGACGGATCACGGGGCAATCGTCCTAACTCTGAGTGGTCTTGAGTCGCCGTAAGCGAGTAGGTGGCAATATAAATTTTCCAATAAAGAAAGAGAACTTGGGATAGGCCTCGTCGCAGCGAATTTTGAAGCGGAGACGGGGATGGACGCGCAAAGGAGTCTTTTGCTCATGAGGAGAAAAAGAGAGGGCAAAAGGGGGATATTTCAAGAGAGTTATGTCAGAGGTGGGCATCACATTCTGTAACAACTGTTCACCCAGAATGCAAAAATGTGAGTGTCAACCCCACTGCGCCGTGCCTCACAGCTTGGGGCTGTCATTCAGGCAGGACCGGAGAGCTGATCTGGCGACGCTCAGAAGTATGTCTGGTCACCCAGCCTAGGTGTCAGAAACCTGCCGCCACCGCTGTGATTGCCACCAAAGCTTGTGCCGCCGCTGCACAGCTGAGAGGCAGACCCTGGAAACAGCTGACGTTCGGGGTCTTGCCTACGCAGAGCCAAGCCAAGCCAAGCCAAGCCAAGCCTTGGCTGGTCTGATGAGCCAAGAGGAAAGTCTTAGTACCGCTTTGTAAAGTCTTAGTAAGGCCACACCTGGAATGCTGCATCCAGTTTTGGTCACCACAAAAAAAGAAGAAGAAGTTGAGACTTTGGAAAAAGTGCAAAGAAGAGCAACTAAGATGGTTCAAGGTTTGGAGTCTAAAACCTATGAAGGACAGTCGCAGGATTTGGGTTTGGCCAGCCTGGAGAAGAGGACTAAGGCGGGACAGGATAGCAGTCTTCCAGTATTTGAGGGGCTGACCCAGAGAGGAGTGGGTCAAATTATTCTCCAAAGCACCAGAAGGCAGGACAGGAAACAGTGGCTGGAAACTAATCCAGAAGAGAAGCAACCTGGAATGAAGGAGAAACTTCCTAATAGTGAGGACAATTAACCAGTGGAACAGCTTGCCACCAGAAGTTGTGGGTGCCTCTATCACTCGTGTCAGGGCTGCCTATGCAGGGGTGAAATGCTCCTGGTTCGGACCGGATCACCTGATCCACTAGCGATGGAGGCGGGTGATTCGGAGAAGCGGTAGCAAAAATCCCTGCTCCCCGCCATGCCCAGCTGGGCCACATAATCATCATAGGGTTTTTTTTTTTACTTTTAAAAGCATTTTTTCTACAACCTCTTCGGCCAAAAAAATGCTTTTAAAAGTAAAAAAAAAAAAGCCTCTGATGATCAGGCAACTCAGCTGGGATCGTCAGAGCCTTTTGAAAGCATTTTTTTACAACCTCTTCGCCGAAGAGGTTGTAGAAAAAATGGTTTTAAAAGTAAAAAAAAAAAAAAAAGTTGGCCACGCCCACCCAGTCACATTAGCCCCCCCAAGCCACGCCCACAGAACCAGTAGTAACAAATTTTACATTTCACCACTGTGCCTATGGCAGCTGGGGCGGGGTGGGGGGTGGGGATCGATTGCGATGGCCTCCTGAAGAGCTCTGCCAAGGAAAATGGAGCTCGGGAGGGCCGCCTGATTTTGCTGGCAGAGGCACCGCGGACCAGTCCTTTGCCGTTTCCAGGGCGGATCGGTGGGCCGGATCTAAGCACCCTGCAGGCCGGATCTGGCCCTTGGCCCTTGAATTTGACAGCCCCTGCTCTGGGTGTTTTCAGATGACAGCACTTCATTTAGTGACCATTCAGTCACCCCAGCACTGAAAAAAAGTGGCTTATGATCACGTTTTTCATACTTAATGACCGTTGCCACATTCCCCCCCCCCACGGTCACATAATTGAAATTCAGATGCTTGGCAACTGATTCATCTTTACGACGGTCACAGCATGTGTCCTCCCCTTGGGTCAGGTGATCTCCTTTGGTGACCTCCTGGCGAGCCCAGTCACTGGGGAAAGCCGGATTCGCTTAACGAATCCATGGGACTCACTGAACAACTGGAGTAATTCGCATAGGAACCGTGGCAAGAAAAACGAGGCAAAATTCACCAAACAAATGTCTCGCGTAGCGACCGAAATATTGGGCTCCGTTTTGGTCGTAAATGGAGGACTACCTCTCTACCTTTCCTAAGACCTTCCCCAGGTATTGATGTCAGGCTGGCCGGTCTGCAGGTTTCTGTATCTATTCCCCCCCCCTTATTTCTGGAAGATGGGAATGCTCCAGGAATTTCCCGGGGCTCCGGGATCTTTGAAAGAGACGGTTCAACAGTTCATCCAGCTCTGAAACAACCTGGAAAGATACGAACCCCTGGCCTGATCGGTCTCTGCTAATGTTGCAGTCATAGAAACCACAAATAAACCTCCTTCCTTCCTTCCTTCCTTCCTTCCTTCCTTCCATTATTTATTCATTCATTTAATTAATTTTATTTAATTGTATGTATGTATGTATGTATGTATGTATGTATGTATGTATGCATGCCATCCAGGGAAGTGTTGACTCTTCCTGATCTCCTCATTTGGTTCAGCTCCTTGACTCACTGTTGAGTCTGGCAGCTGCCTGGGTTGCCCACGTTTCTCATTAGGCTCTCCTGCCCAATGGAGGGAATGTGCAGAGGGAAGACTGGGAGCCCCTCAAATCCTCTTGGGAATGAACAACCAAGGGGTGTGTGTGTGTGTGTGTGTGTGTGTGTGTGTGCTGAGAGAGAGAAAAAGAAAGAGACAAAGAGAAAATGAGAAGAGAGAGAGAATAAGAGACAGAGAAAGAATAAGAGAGAAAAAGACACAGAGGTAGAGAGAATGATGAGAGAGAGAGAGAAGGAGGGAGAGAAAGTAAAAGAAAGGGGGAGAGAGAGAGAATGAGAAGAGAGGGAGAGAGAGAATGAGAGGGAAAGAAAGAAAGAAAGAATAAGAGAAAGAGAATAAGAGAGAGAGGAAGGGAGAAAGAATGAGAGAGAGAGAGAGAGAGGGAGAGAAAGAGAGAGAATAAGAGAAAGGAGAGAAAATAAGAGAAAGTGAAAGAGAGACTAAGAGAAAGAGAGAGAAAAAGAGAAAAAGGGAGAATAAGAGAAAGAGAGGAAGAGGAAGAGAAAGAATGAGAAGAGAGATAAAAAGAGAGAGAGAGAGACGGACTGGACGGAAGGACAGCCGCCATCTCGCAAGGAGAGCTCAACGCACTAGTCCTGCTGCACAACCGGCTGTTGTGATCAAACGCTCCGGGGTTGTGTGACTCCCTCCCGGTTGCCGGGAAGAACGGACTAGGCAGGTCTCCAAGTGTCCAGCGGTCCAAGCCAGGAGAAAACGGGGAGGGGCGGCATCCCCCAGAGACCTTTGAGCCCCTCCCCTCCACTGGGCGGGATGAACTGTGGCTGCGCCAGTGCAGCCCGCCCCACACCCCGCACCCCCAGACACAGCAATACACAAGCGGGGGGGAGGAGCGAAGTGGAACTAAGCCCCCTGCCCGACCGGGGACGCTCCGAGGCGCAGCAGCTGGCGATCCTGCGAGGCGCGTGGGGAGATCCAGAGCCAGACGGGGGTCGCGCGCAGGTTTCCCGCAGCAGGGCAGGTGGGAATGGTGGGGGGAGGTGAGGAGGGGGTCCGCCCGGGGAGAAGACGCTCCCGGGATCTCCCGGGATCCCAAGGCGAACAGCATCCCGAGAGACGCGCAAACAAGGGCGCAGTCTTCCCCGCAGACCCCTCCCCGAGATTTCGAAGAAGAGGCTCGGACGGGGTGCCTCTCGGGGATGGTGGTCCGCGGAGACCCCTTCCCTCCCGCTCTTTGCCTTCCTCCCCCACCCCTACGTCGCCTTCTCGGCCAGGAGTTGCGACCCCCGCCCTTCCTCCTCCCAGGACTTTCGCTTTCTGTTCCGTCAGTCAGCTGTTCCCACCGCTCGGCTGTTCTGTTTTTCTGGGGGGGAGGGGGCATGGAGGACGGAGGGGAACTGCCCTCCCCCTTTTAAAGGGCGGCGCAGAAACTCCCGGAGCTTTTTCGGCCCGAGTGGGGAGGGGGAAGCGGTTTGGAGCGTCGCTTGAAAGCGGAGGGAGAGGCGTAGCCAATCCAGTGGGGAACCAAAACAAACCCCGCCGCCCGAAGCTTGCACAAAGAGAGTGACGCAGCGCACCATTTACTGCTAAGACAAGTCTGGAAGGACAAGTCCCCCAATCTTCCCCAAACGCCTGCTTCCCCTCTTCGCGTGCTTTGTCTCCTCCCTCCCCCGCTTTCCTTTAAAAGTTACCTTTTGCCCTGGTTTCTTCATACCATTTGCATTTCGCCCTAGCGCATTCTACACCTGTGTTCCACCAGAATTCCTGCGGCCCTTGGATTGCGTTCCATGAGCCTGGTAAGCTGAGACAAGCAGCTAGGGCAGGGCTGTCGAACTCCGGCCCGTGGAGCTGCTCCGCAAAGAGCGAAGGACTGGCCTGCGGGGTATCTGCGCACGGCCCTCCCAGGCCCCGTTTCCGCTGTGATGGCCTCCTGCAGCCCTCTGCCAGCGAAAATGGAGCTCGGGGAGGCTGCGCATGGTCTGCCCGGGCTCCGTTTTCAGCCGCGAAGGCTTCCTGCAGCCCCTGCCAGCAAAAACTTAACCCGGGCGTGCCACACACAGCCTCCCCGAGCTCCATTTCCGCTGGCAAAGGGCTGCAGGAAGCCTTCGAGGACGCAAAATGGAGCCTCGAGTGATGTCGAGCTGGCAATGCCCACTCCTGCCACGCCCATCTCGGCCATGTTCCCCACCTCCCAGGTAAAACACAACCCTGATGTGGCTCTCAATGAAATCCAGTTTGAAGCCTCTGGACTAATGGGCAAGATTGGGCGGTTAAAACTCTCTCATTAACCGAAAATGTAACGGAAACCTCACAGAAGACTAGTCGGTTTTCACCAACTCCGACTTGCTTTTTAGAACAACCGGACTTTTTCCGTCCTTCCAGCCTGGGCCTTTTCCCCCTGAGTGTCCCAATGCGCTATTGACCTTCTAAGCCAGGGGTGTCAAACTCGATTTCATTGAGGGCCACATCAGGGTTGTGTTTGGTCTTGGGGGAGGGGGGAGGGAAGCATGGCCATGGGGTATGGCCATCTAGACATCACTTGGGGTGGGGGTGGGGGTGCGCCGGTGGCCTGGAGTGGGGGGGAGGATCCAGTGGTGAAATCTAAAATTTGTTACTACCGGTTCTGTGGGCATGGCTTGGTGGGGGGTTAATGTGACTGGGTGGGCGTGGCCAATTTTTTATTTATGTTTTTACTTTTAAAACCATTTTTTCTACAACCTCTTCAGCGAAAAAATGCTTTCAAAAGGCTCTGACAATCCCAGCTGAGTTGCCTGATTGGCAGAGGCTTTTTTTCTTCTAAATGCCTCTGACGATCAGGCGACTCAGCTTGGATCGTCAGAGGCATTTAAAAGGAAAAAAGCCTCTGAGGATCGCATGGCTCAGCTGGGCAATGGGGGAGGCAGGGATTTTTGCTACCGGTTCTCCGAACCACCGGCCTCTATCGCTACCAGATCAGGCGATCTGGTCCGAACCAGGAGCATTTTGCCCCTGGGAGGATCCATTGTGACAGCCTCCTTCAGTGCTCTGCCAGCAAAAACAGAGCTTCGGAAGGCCATGGGCAGCCCTCCTGAGCTCCGCTTTCGGCTGCGACAGCCTCCTGCAGCTCTCTGCCAGGAAAATGGAGCTCAGGAGGGCCGTGCGTGTGTCTGGAGTTCCTGCGGGCCAGATCTAAGCACCTCGGTCTGGGTCAGCCAGGGGGACGCAATTAAAGTGAGAAACCTGGCACCTTTTCGGTGCAAGATGGCCCAGGGGGCGTCGCTAGAAAATGCAGGGAAAGCTCCCGTTTTCTCCTCCCCCCCAAATGGGGCCTTGGGCAGTCCCTCCCTCACCTCAAGAAGGGGGTCTCTCTCCCCCCATCTTTTCTCTTCTATCCCCGCAGTCCGGGCTGACGGGATTGGCATCAGCAGCAGCTGGAAATGGCGTTGCAACAGCTTGGAGCTTCGTTCTGGTAAGTGTGAGAAGTGTGTGTGTGTGTTTTGGGAAAGGCCCTCTGCTCTGGGCGTGGCAGAATTTGGGGGCTGGGCAAACATCCAGCCCCCGTTTTCCCCCCTCCCCATCATACGCCAGACCAGCCCTGTCTGATTTTCTAATAATGAGGGGCAAGCAAGGCTCTGAAGCTAAACTGTGCAGTGCCCCCCAAAAGAAAGGATGCCTCCCCCTGCCCCATTTCCCTCCTCCCCCTTTTCCCCTCCCCCTTCCCTCCCTGCCACTCCTTTCCTTCCTTGGTGGTGGGTCCCTTCAGAGCATCTCAGCCCCCCCCCCAGCCCCTTAGCAGGAGGCGGGAGATTTCTCCAGAGCAGCTTCAGGGCAGTGTGTTGAGTGGGGTTGGGGAACCAGGGTGCCATTTCTGGGCACAAAGAGCAGAGGCAGGGGGCCGAAGGGGCTGTCTCTCTCAGGGCAGAAAGGGGAGGGGCTCCCTCTGCCCCACTGGACACGCCAAGGTGCTGGAGGGGGGGAAGGCAGGGGAGGGGAGAGTCACTTCTGACCCGTGTTTTCTTTCCACTCTTCCAGGGAGCTGAGGATGAGGAGGAAACCCCAGGTAAGCAAGGAGGGCACCATGCCTGGCTTATGGGGGCGTGGGGGGGGGGGCTGAAGAGCAGTGAAGAGGATTGGGGGCCCGGAGGCTAAAACATACAAAGAACATACATACGGTTGCAGGAATTGGGTCTGGCCCAGTCTAGAGAACTAAGGGTGGGGGGACTAAGGACTAAGGTGAGGGGGCAGACAGGACAGCACCCTTCCAGGATTTGAAGGGCTGCCCTGAACAGCACTGATGACGTTCCCTAGTTGGGTCATGAAACTTTGGCAAGAAAACAACCAAACTCAGCACCAAAGACCTCCCTGTTGCCCTCCTCTTCCTCCTCTTCTTCTCCACAACCCAACTCTCTTCTAGCACTGATGACGTTCCCTAGCTGGCCATGAAACCTGCAAGAAAACTATCCAGCTCAAAGAGCACCAAGGATCCCACAGTTCTCCTCCTCCTCCTCCTCCTCCTCTTCCTCTTCCTCTTCCTCCTCTGGAAATCCACTCCCTTTTAACACTGACGATGTTCCCTTGTTGGGTCATGAAACATCTATTCTCTATTTTATTCTATTATTCTGCATTCTGTTCTGTTCTGTTCTGTTCTTCTATTCTATCCTATCCTATGAGACACACACCCTGACATCCCCTCCCCTCCCCCCACCCCTCCCGGCTTCTATCCAGTTCCAGATTCCGTGATTGATGCTCTTCCTTGTCTGTAGGGAAAGGTCCGGATGAAGACTTCGAAGAGCTGACGATGGAAGGTAATTCTTGTCATCTCCTTGACTTAGGAAGGGTCTCTTAGCAGCTGTTTTGTGTGATAGTGGATATCCCACTCCCCCCCCCGGAAAAAAGTTTCTGAGACTCCTGAAATTACACTGTGATGAGCCGGGAGGAGGCACAGAAGCAATACAGCCAGAGAGCAGTTCCAACTCCCCTTTATTACTCCGACTTGTCCCCCAAGCGTCCCCGCGTTTCCTGCAAGTCCTGGAGCAAAGCTCTCCCATGGACCCCCCCACCCCCCTGACAGCCTCTGGCAGCCGGTAGTCCAGCAAGCCAAGTTAGCAAGGCAAAAACCGAGGCAGGAAGTCCAGCCAGGCAGGCAAACTCGGCAAGGCACACAAGACAAAGCACAGCAAAATCTGGACGTCAGCAACGGATTCAATGCTTGTTCCCTTCCCACAACGTCTCTTTAAATCTTATTCCCCACGGAGCTACTCTGGAAACAATGAAGGACCAGCCCGCCGTGCCTCTGCCAGAGAAAACAGTGCTTGGGAGGGCTTCGTGCCCCTCCCCAAGCTCCGTTTCCGCTGGCAGAGGGCTGCAGGAGGCCGCCGCAGCTAAAAACGAATGTGGAGCTGGCCACGCCCCCACTGCCCCTCCCCCCAGCCCCTCGAGGTCAAACACAACCCTGATGTGGCCCTCAAAAAAAATTGAATTTGACACTCCTGGTTTACAGAGTCAGCCTCTTGCCTCTCCCCCCCCCCACCTCCCAACGATCTGGGTCCTCCTTTGACTGACCTCGGAAGGACGGAAGGCTGAGTCGACCTTGAGCCGGTCCGGATCGAACTGCGGGCGTTATGGTGCAGTACTGTTCTAACCACCACGAGACACGGGGGCGCAGTAGAGGCTCTCGAGCACGGGGCTGGATTAGAAGACCTCCCAGGTCCCTTCCAACTCTTGTTATTCTGTATTCTGGGATGGCCTGTTGGGACATTGTTCGGACATTAAATTTAGTGGCTGGAAGAGTCAACTTTACCCTGGGCTGGAAAACGCAGGTGTGGTGGACTACTTGGAGAGTCCTGGCTCCTGCCTGAGTCAATCTGTGCTGTGATTGGTTGCCTTAAGGATAGAGGAGGCGTTTCCTTCCTTCCCCCCTCGCCACCTTTATTCTGCGTGTTCCGTATGCTATTCCCCTTTATCTTGTCTGCGGCGAATATCAATGGAAAATATATTTATTTACACAAAAATGCACGCGCAGGACCGAGCAGCCCATGCACACACACACACACACACACACACACACATGCACTCCACACATGGAGCCTCCTCCTCTGCATTGGGGGAGTCCCACATGAAAAGGCACAAACCGAAATGACGATTGGGTCTTGAAAGCACACGTATACTCACTTACGGATTGCCTCAAAGTAGGAGCGAGGGACGACGTGAATCTCACGATGTAGATCTGGGTCCGGTGGCATTCTCAATTCAGAGCCTTCAGAGAGGCTGCTCTGTGTGTGTGTGTGTGTGTGTGTGTGTGTGTGTGTGTGTGAGAGAGAGAGAGAGAGAGAGAGAGAGAGAGAGAGAGAGAGAGAGAGAGAGAGAGAGAGAGAGAGAGAGAGAGAGAGCACTCTGCTCCGGGACTTGCCATAAATATGGGAGCGTTTGGGGGAAAGTTGGAGCATTAAAGGGGAGTTTGAACTCTTAGCTGGCTGTGTGGTCTTCATGTCTTGTCCCGGGTCATCACACCTGGCCCAGAATTCTCATCACGCACCACATATCAGCAGCCCTGAGCCTCTTTTGGGTCAATCTCAGTTTGCTTAGACCCAGCTTTGCTCATGGAGAGGGAGGGGGGCTGGACACAGTGGCTGTATTCAGCTGCTAAAGTGGGGTTCGCACGTTGTGGGAATCTGCATGGCTGAGCAGCCCATTTTAGCAACTCTGGGAGATTCACACACACACACAAAAACCATCATTGAATCACTTCAGGGCACGGATGACTCTTTTCCGAAATCAGCTGGTTCAATGATGCCCCAACATGGATTATGCCCCCCCCCTTTCTTCCTGGGCTCGTGAGAAATGTTTTGATTCCTCTTTATAATATTGTCTTCCAAACCCACAGGGGTGGACAACGAACTCCGGCTGATCCTGGTTGGAAAATCCGGAGGCGGGAAGAGTGCCACGGGCAATACCATCCTCGGCCGGAGGGAGTTCGAGTCCATCTTGGCGGCAAAAACCATCACCCTGAAGTGCCAAAGGGGGCAGGGAAGCTGGAAGGGCAGGAAGATCTCCGTGGTCGACACGCCCGCCATGTTTGATTCTGAAGATTATGATGAAATTGTGCACGATGAGATCAGGGATTGTGTCAAACTCTCCCGGCCTGGCCCCCATGCCCTGATTTTTGTAACCCAGGTGGGGCGCTTCACCGCAGAAGACGTGGCTGCGGCAAAGTGTGTCCAGCAAATTTTTGGGGCTGAGTCCACCAGTCACATGATCCTCCTCTTCACCTGCGTGGAGGATTTGGGCGGGGAGCCCCTGCAGGAGTACGTCCAACAGTCCGACAACTGGAATCTGCGGGAACTGATCCAGCGGTGCGGGAACCGCTTCTGCGGGTTCAACAACAAGTCCAAGGGAGCCGAGCGGGAGACGCAGGTCTCGGAGCTGATGGAAATGGTGGAGAGAACCGTTTATGAGAACGGGGGGAGATTCTACATGAACCACCTGTATGAGGTGCCCAACTTATGGGACGCACACATCCAGATGTTGAGTGAGCAGAATCAACTGGCAGAGGGAATCAAATACATCCTCTTGATCTCTCTAGAAAAGTTCATTTCAGTGGGTCAATTCCTGTTATCATTCTTAGATGATGACATGAATGCAGACAGAGGTCCCCCTCAACTTACAACCAGTACTTCTCTGACCGTTCCGAGTTCTAACGGCCCTGAAAAAACAGACTTATGATCATTTTTCACCCTTACGACCATTGCAACATCCCCAGGATCATGCAATCAAAACGCGGGTGTGTGGCAACTGACTCATCTTTATGATGGTTACAACGTCCCGGGCTCACAGGATCCCCTTTGGCGAATCCAGTCGGCAAAATCCAGGGGGATTCACTGAACAACTGTGTTACTAACTTCACCCCTGCACCAATTCGCTTAAGAGCGGTTGCAGGCAAGGTTATAAAATGGGCCAAGCTCACTTAACCGTCTGCTGAACAACAGAAATGGGTTCATTTGGTTCAGCTGTGGTTGTAAGTTGAGGTCTTCCTGCATCGGAACTTCACCGTTCCTCCAAATCCAGAAATGATGTGATTTTTTAAATTCTGCCTTTCTTCGCTAGAGAAATAAACAATTGCAGAGCTGGTGTCCTCTCCACTTCTCTTTTGCCTTTGACTGCTGAAATGTGTGGGGGGGGCGGAGGGGGGATCAGCCAGGGGTCTTCCTCTTTGAAGACCCTCCTCCACCTTCTCAACGGCAGCAGGACCCTGCCCCATAGCCTCTCAAGGCCAGCCTGGCCTAATGTACAATTATGATGATAATATTGATAGAATAAATCTGAAAAGAAATTGAAAGAAAGTATATAATTATGTATAAGAAAAGTACATTTTATATTATGTGTATAAAAATAAAACTGAAAAAACTTATTAAAAGAGAATATATATGATTAAAAATGGAGAAAATAGAATTTGAGGGCAAAAGAAGATATTGTTTATTGAAATAAGAATAGAAATGTTAAGATTTGATTAAAAATATGGAAAAAACACTTTGGCAGAAATTGTAACTAAGTAAAATATATTTGGATATGATAAGTTGTATATGATGTGATATGATATGATATGATATGATATGATATGATATGATCAATACTGTGTTTCATAAAATATGTAGGTGTGTATTAGGGGAGAAAAAAACGAATAAAACTTGATTCAAAAAACCAAAAATTTCAAGCTGTGTCAATTTATCAAGCCCGATCACATAGTTTCATAGCGGAGCACGGGTATTCACCTAGTTTAATATAAACGAGGGTATTATTATTATTAGAAATATATGTTTGTTAAACATAACAAATATGATGGATAATATTTAATAAAAGATATTATTGTGTATTTAAACTATGGAGATTGGCATATAAACAACAGAATTACTGATTAAACAAAAAATAAAAGGTGATAATTCAATATGCATATGTATGCTAAATGTGACAAATATGATTAATAATGCCTTAGTTGTATTATATAGAATATGGTGATTAATATAAAGGCAATCTATTGAAATATATAAGGCTGTATGTATGTTGCACGACTTCTTCTGCGGCTGCTTGCAGCCGGATTCAATGTGGTGCTTCACGCCGGTGTTGCTGCTCGCGGCAGGATGCCACACTGTGCCTTGCGCTGGTGCCACATCTCACGGCAGGACCCCGTGTAGCACATCACTAACCCTAACCCTAACTGTTGCGAACCGGTAGTAAAGGTAAGTAGAACTCACTCCTGGACTAGGAGTGGCCAATTTTGGGACTGGACTAATTTTTGAGTCCCGTATTGTATTTAACAAGACTTCCAATTAACACTAGAAGTCTTGTTAAATACAATACGGGACTCTAATACTTTGAAAGGAATAAGGATTAGGCAAGAGGATTACAGAATAAAGGCATTTGCAGATGATCTGGTTGTTACCCTATCACAACCAATGGAATCAATAATCCTGATGAAGGACATTATACAAGACTATGGTAAAGTTTCAGGTTTTAGACTGAATCCAAAAAAGACTAAAATGATAGTTAAAAACATGACACAAGATCGTAAACATGAGCTTGAAAGGAGGGCAGGTTTTGAGACTGTACCTAAGGTAAAATATCTAGGAGTTCAGGTTGCAGAATCAAACATGAAATTGTTTCAAAATAACTATGAGGTGTTGTGGCGAGAGGTGCAGAAAGACATGGAGACTTGGAAAAAACTGCAGCTGTCTTTACTTGGAAGAATAGCAGCAGTTAAGATGAACATTTTGCCAAGATTTCTTTTTTTGTTTCAAATGATTCCGGTGCTTAAAAGTGATAAACAATTGAAAGTTTGGCAATCTGGAGTGAATAAGTTTGTCTGGAACGAGAAGAAGCCGAGAGTGAAATTGAAAATTATGCAAGATGTTCCAGAAAGAGGAGGTCTTAAACTTCCAAACCTACAGTTATATTATGATGCAGCAGCTTTAACTTTAACAAGTGATTGGTTTGGAAGGAAAAAGACTGGAATACTGAATGCAGAAAGTTTTGATCTTGAATTTGGATGGCATGCTTACTTATTTTACGACGACAAAGTAGATAAAGTATTTAAAAGTCATATACTGAGAGATTCTTTGATGAGAGTCTGGAAGAAGCACCGATTCAAATGGGATTATAAAATACCGCTATGGTTGGATCTTGGTCATACTTTGTGGAATACAAATATAATGTCACTCGGGGGGGTTTTATATAAAGAGGTTCTTTTTACAGATGCGGGTAGATGGCAGCTGAAGACATTGCAGACACTGTTGGACGAAGGGACTAATTTAACTTGGTTACAATATAATCAATTACAATTGAGATGGAAAGAGGACCAAAAAACTGGTATTATGTTGCATGAGGAAGAATTGGTTAGACATATAAGAGAGAAAGGTCCAATGCATATCAAAAGGCTTTATAATGTTTTGCTAGAAAGAGATTCAGAAACTGAATTAGTTAAAGACTGTATGATTAAGTGGGCACAGAATTTTGAAGAACCAGTGATGCTGGAAACCTGGGAAAAAATTTGGGTTCAGAATGTTAAATTTACACAGTCGCAGAACCTGAGGGAAAATTTCTACAAAATGTTTTATAGATGGCATTTAGATCCCAAAAAGTTGTCATGTATGTACCCTAATGTTCAGCCAAAATGTTGGAGATGTGAATGTTTGGATGCTACGTATTATCATGTCTGGTGGACCTGTAGGAAAGTTAAGGCTTTTTGGATAAAAATTTGGTGGGTCATGCAGAATGTTTTGAAGAAAAAAATTCAATTTTCTCCACAACTGTTTTTATTGGGTATAGTTAAGGGTTTTACATTGGGTGAAACAAAATTGATATTGTATATGATAACAGCGGCAAGATTGTTGATAGGTAAATACTGGAAAAATGAAGCTTTGCCCACTATCGACGAATGGACTTTGAAGATGGCCAGTTTTGCAGAGATGGCGAAGATTTCAGCATATTTAAAAGACTGTTCACAAGAGACTTATGAGTGGGAATGGAAAAGGTGGATAGAATATGTTCAGAACAAATATCAAACTAGAAAGTATCAAATAGCTTTTACTTGAAAACAATGTACTAGAAATTTTTTAAAGTAATGAGATAAAGAAAAAAATTATACAGGGGAGGGAGGGGCTCAAGTTTATATATAAGTGTTATATTAGGGTTCTTCATGATTATGAGTATATTATAGGGAAGTCTGGGGGGAGGGGAGGGTTAGGGAGGGTTAGGGAGGTTGGGAAGGTTGGGGGCGAGGTGGGGGGGAAAAAGGGGTGAAAATGTAATTGTAAAACTTTTGCAATAAAAAAAAAAAGAATTTCTTTGACTCATTAAATACAGTGGAAACAAAAAATTTAACCTTGACAATGGATGTCCTCAAGAGACGTCAGGAGCTGGAAGCTGCTCTTAGAAGACCTCCCTCTCTTAATATTGAGCCAATCCAACCAAATTGTTTCCAGATCAGTATTGATCCACTGACTTATGGGATGTCCCCAGTCTCAAGGTACCTGGTGGAATATCGGATTGCAGGAGAAAAGAATTGGAAAAGTCTTCTAACAGATGTTCCAAAGGATAAATTCACCTTAGAAGATGTGCATTTAAATCTTCCATACCAATTCCGATGCACTGCTGTGACTCAACTAACTCTTGGTCAATGGAACGAGGAGATCACTTGTGTCTATCCTTCGGTAAATGTTTTGCCTGTCCAGTCATGTTCCAACTCTGAGGAAGGGATGGTGCTCATCTCTGTTTCTTAGCTGAGGGAGCCAGCATTATCCAAAGATGCTTCTGTGGTCATGTGACCAGCACGACTATATGCCAAGGTGCATGGAGTGCTGTTACATTCCCATCTAAGTGGTACCTATTTATCTACTTGCCTTTGCATGATTTTGAACTGCTAGATGGGCAGGAGCTGGATCAAGGAAACGGGAGCTCATCCCGTCTCATGATACTCCGGTCTCGCAACTGGGATGTCAGCTTTCCAGCTGACAACTCAGCATCTTTAATCACAGAGCCATTGTGCTCCCCGTCTTCCTCAGAGAGGCCCTCAAAGGTAACTTGAGGACAGAGGAGGAGGAGGAGGAATGACTGGGGAGGTCCTTGACGCTCTCTGAGCTGGGTGGTTTGCTTTCAGATGTTTCATGACCCAACTAGATAACATCCTCAGTGCTAGAAAGGAGTGAGGTTTGCAGAAAGGAGGAGGAGGAGGAGGAGGACGATGACAGAGTGTGCAGTATTTTTGTAAGAACTTCAGCCACAGGTTCCACAACCTCCCAGTTGTCTTGCTGATAGAAAATATAGCACATGGAATATTGCTGCAGTAACTGGTTAATCTTCTCTGCCTGTCCCTTCGGAGTTGGATGATGGGCAGATGACATATGAAGTTCAATAGTTAATAACTGCAAGAGGGCCATTCAAAATTTGGAAATAAATTGATTTCCCCTGTTGGTTATGACATAATTAACTAATAACGTAGATCTAAAAAGACATAATCCAAAAAGTTGATCCATTTCTTGGTCCTTTGTGAGATGCTTGCAAGGAATGAGAAGGGCCAATTTGTAAATAAATCCACTACTACCATTATGATAATATATCTCTGCACTGAAGGAAGATCCTTGATTAAATCTAAGGAAATCATGCCCCGGGATTAGGAGATTTGCCTAGTGGTTGCAACCACCATCTAACTGGCTTTCCAGACGTTTATTTCACCCTCCAACAGGCATGGCAAAAGGATACATAATCCATAAATTCTCTGGGGATGTTGAGCCAACAAAATTCTCTGAGGGTTCTTTGTGGGGTTGTTAATAAGCACCACCCTTTCCCTGTCTTGCTGTGGACCCTGGTGCTTGGCATCCTCTTTCTACTGCATCTTAATCCAATCAAAGGGTTCAACAAGTTGCCTTCCTTCTCAGACCCTTTCATGTTGGTCTGCCTGATGGTTGAATGGCCTCACTGTTATGGCCGGTGATTGGAGAACCTCACAACAGCTGAGACCTAAAAGTGAAAGTGAAACAAAGACACCTCCCCTCCTCTTTCCTAAAAAAAGTATAAATATCATTCTGTCTCCATCCCATCCTGTAAATTCTGAAGGGCTCCCAAGAACTTCTTTGCTGGGTCTGAAAACCCTGCAGCTCTTCATCTTAATCCGAAGATGAGGCTTTGTGCCGCTGATCCACCTGTGCAGGAACCGCTTCTGCGGGTTCAACAATGAGGCCGTGGGAGCTGAACAGGAGAGGCAGGTCTCCGAATTGATAGAGATGGTGGAGAGAACCGTTTTCAAGAATGGAGCTGCTACATGCTCCAGCTTTACTCGGAGCGCAGCCTTGGGAACAGTGCTTAGTAAGACTGGTGGGACCACTCTGGAGTAAATTAGAATGCCGCAAGAATATCTCTCTCTCTCCCTCCCTCCCTCCCTCCTTCCCTCCCTCCCTCTATCTATCATCTATCATCTAACTAATTTATATGCTGCTCATCTTTTGGCATAAATAAATAAATCAGCATTTCAGGGGGCAGATCGAATCCAAGTCACCTATTCTGAGGGAGGAATGTGGAGGGCTTGAGCTTCATTTGGGGGCTCCCTGCTGCAGAGAAAGGGGAAAGGGAACCTGGACAGTGAAAAATAATCCAGGGAGATAGCAGTTTGGGGGAGAGTTGCTTTGCTCCTCTCTCCAGGAGGATGGGTTTAAGGGC